CTATCCTGGGACAAAAAGGTACCAGCCCACGTGATCTTTCTCGACTTTGCGAAAGCATTCGACACAGTTCACCATGGTCTGCTCCTTCACAAAATAGGCAAGGCGGGTGTTTCTGGAGCACTTCTCGCATGGCTGACAGATTACTTAGGCGAGAGAGAATTCTGCACCAAAGTCAACCGCATCCGATCATCCTGGCACACCTCGGCATCAGGGGTTCCTCAGGGTTCTATCCTAGGGCCGTTGATGTTTTTGATTTTTATCAATGACCTGCCCCCCAACTAAACTGCTCTGCGCTTCTTTACGCTGACGACGTAAAGATTTGGAGAGCAATAAACTCATCGGAAGACTCATAGATTGCAGGCTGACCTGCAAACTCTGGGAAATTGGGCTTTGGCTAACGGAATGCCTTTCAATCTAAAGAAGTGCAAAGTAGTGCAGCTTCATTCCGGCAGGTCACAGAGTGTAAATTACACCCTTGGTGGCCAGAACTTGAGTTGTGTTCCATCAGAGCGTGATCTAGGTCTTATTCTAACAGAAAAGCTAGACACCAGTGGAAATTACTCGAGGGACGTCGCCAAAGCCTACGCAACATTACACTTTATGCACAGGCAGCTGGGAGCTCTCACTCCCGAACTGTTCTTAAGGCTATACAAGGCATATGTGAGGCCACACCTTGAGGTGCATAATATCATTGCACCTCCGCTACTCAAAAGGGATGCTAACATTCTAGAAAGTGTCCAGAGACGAGCGACAAAATGGGTGATCGGCCTCCGCAACAAATCATATGAGGAAAGACTAAAGAAATTAGGTCTTTTCACACTTAGTTACCGTAGGCACAGGGGAGACCTCATCACCGTCTACAAGATCCTAAATGACCAGGCCCACCCAAATAAAAGCATCCTGCCATTAAGCGATTATAGGCTTCCACGAGGTAACCCGCTAAGGATAGCACACCAGAGACCAAAGACTCGAGTGCGATCACATTTCTTTTCGCTTCGTGTTTGCCGTCTCTGGAACGCTTTACCGGCGGCCGTGACTACAGCGCCATCTCTGGAGATTTTTAAGCGGAAGCTAGACAATCATGCAGAAATGCAAGGTTTGTGTCTCAATGGCTTATCCTCATAAAATTTGAAACCACACTGTCAATGATAAGCGTACAAACTAAATCCCCACGACCTATTCTGCCTTCTCTCACTCTATCTTTTCCTTAGGTCACCTTTATTATTCCACTTATCTCAACCTATATTATCTACACTACAACCCATTATTTTTATTATTATTATTATTACTACTATTCTGCTTTTATGACTACACCGAATGACCAACGGGAGTTAGGTCAAACTCCATTCACGGCAGCAATACAGTCCTAACATACTGCATACTACAAACCACATCTCGACCAATCCCCGCACCACTCCTCCTGGAGTCTACCAGAGCTAAAGCAGTCGAGTGTCGGGACTTACTACGCAGAAGCTCACCGAAGATCTGGAACCTCTACCTCACAATCAAGAAGCGAGCTCAAAGAAATCACTGGTTTATACTAGCTCGTAATCAGGATATTGGATATTGAAATGTTTCGCACTTATTTAATTGGTTCTTAAGGTCAGGACCAAGCGCCCTACATAAATAGTGATCTAGTGGAGATCTCGAGATCTCCAAGTGGGTCCAATTGGGATCCCAATATTACATGTATTTATCCTAATTGCCCTCGGTCCCCAGCAATCTGTGCTGTTCTTAAAAATTACCCGCAATAATTTAGCTGTGATTTTTCAGCACCACCCACAGTTTTTCAGCGCTTACCGGTAATTTTACAGCAACATGAAGGCCCTATCTGCGCCAATTTAGCACTGGCTAACATTTCAGCAGTTTTTGCATTAGTTAACTAACTGTACTGGACGCCTAATTAAGCAGCACCCACATTACCTCAGTACACCACAGCCAGCAACGTTTTCGGGGGCATTGCAGATTTTTGTGGCAGTCTTAGGGGCACTGTCCCACGTCTATGCGCCCGAAGTTTTTTGCCCCAAAAATTCTGCAGTCCCCCTGAAAATAATGCCAGGTGAGACAGAAGTTCTTATGTAGACGATATTCAGTTAGGAATATAGATTGCATTATCGACGCAGAATATAGGTGTTTTGCATTACTTGTACGCTTTGGGTACGATTAGTGAAAGTGATTTATCCTGTGAAATCTTTCCTCACCGAATAAATTAGCCATAAAATATACCACGTTTTGTGTCCTTGATCACCTTCCAATATGCATGAGTCCTCCTTAACGGCAAGGCTAACCGCTTGGACGTTGTTCGCTGGCCTGCACCTCATCGGTGACGTATGCATATAATAGAGGTGTCAGTGGTGTTGCTAGGGTAGACCTTACATATTGCCCATAAACTTCTAAAGTTGTAAGCTACAACTGTGTGTCACTGTCGTAGTTTCTTAAGTCATAACTCACTATGACATCAAGACTAGTGTGCGTCTTATTTGAATTGAGTAGTGTTCCCTGTGTTGTATAAGATGACACGTGCTTGACCCGTCCGCAATTCGCTATGTATGTGAGAGTCGTCCATTCTTTAGACCGACTTCAGTTTCTCGAGGTCTGTTTGCGAAGTCAACATGATTTAGTTATTCTTCAGCTCACCAAAATCCTAGATCGTTTGCGTCGAGTACCATTGATATTTTCAAGCCGAGGTGATTTTTTTATATGCAGGATGAATCAAAGTATTCCAAAATATCACTGCATTTCTTATTCGCCCGGATTTACCATTCCAGATTTTGTATTAGACTTATTTTGTTAAGTCCTTTTGGCTGCCGTCTAGGATGGATACATTTGTCCACCCGAATTTGATCTAGCTGGCCAAGTTGAGTTTTTTTCCCTTTTCGTATCGTTTGATTTAGTTTGTGGATCTTAAGAATGATTCATCTAATCTATCAGAACCCTCTGGTATTCAGCTATAAGCTGTAAATCTGAATATGGAAGATATATACGTAGAATTAGTAGATTTAAAATCTAACACTTCTACCAGGTTTTGCATAAAATCATTTTGACTCGATGTTTATTCTTTTTATTTTTCGCTAGAAATATATAGGTCGCTTATGTATTTTTTGAAATAAAGATGTCTAAATGCGCTACTATAGGCGCAATCAAGGAATTGCGCAGGCTGAAATAAAGAGCGATTTGAATCCTGAGACTATCCGGTGAATGCTATATACGTAATCTGATCAGCGATACGTCGTCAAACTCAAATTACCATTACCTTTGATGCTCTAAATTAACGTATACTTACTAAGAATCCTTTTGAAGTACTTTCCCAAGATGATTTATTTATTATGCCTAATTGGGTAAGATAATGAGCTTACCGATTTGACTTGCAAGTAAAGTATTAAAACGATAGAGCATCTTATATTCTTAGATACAGTTGAAAGGAATTTGCTGTTTCTCATCCAGATTTTGTCTTTATTTCTTGAATTTAGTTTTCTATATTGTTTTTCTTAACATATTGATTGTGAAATTTAATTCCCTTTATGTTTATTAAGATTCGAAGCTATTTAAAATTTGCTATAACACCATGTATTCTGAGAGTTAGGTGTATCTGATAGATGACGTAATGACTTGAATAATTTTCACTGAGCCACACCCAAAATCTGCTTCTCAAACTAATTTGACGTATTCAGAAGCAACCACTGATTGATTTTAGGTAATTGGGTGGCAGTCGTTAGAAAACCCTGCTTAGTCTATTAGCCTAACAGTTAAATTCTAAATTCAGTTGATAGAATTCCACCAGTCTTTATGGCTAGATAGCATAATAGTTGTTGTCTTCCAGAATGACAGTCAAATGTAATAAAACATAAATTGTTACAAATTTATAATCAAAGTGGAAATAAAGCATGCATGTATCGACGCCAATACGGTCGTTTTCAATCCTAGAGTTTTAAGCCATATGTTCTGTTAATTTCATTAACATAAGACAGGCAATGAGTTCAGGTCAGTGGTCATCTATTCGATGGATTGGTGTCATGTTTTAGTTCGATGAGCCTGATCTTGTTCTTGTTAACCTAGCACGTTGGAGTAAACTATGAGTAAGTATGGGTAACGTGTGTTTGAAACTACCTTAGATGATGGTGAGTATCTCATTTTGAATAGGAATCTGCGCCTAACTTGTACATTGACCATACGAGGGTTTTTATCAAAGGTATGCAGTGGTAAGGTGCCAGTGATTATCGAGTACGTAAATTTTTCTTACGTCACATTATAGAAATCTAGCTTATCGACCATCAGATATGATGCCACTGCCGTACAGTGCAGCTAACCCTTAATTAACGATTAGATGTCACCCGCGCTAAAAGTGTCACAGTTTAGTGAAGACCAAATTAGACTCTATTTGTGGTGAGGTTTCCTCGGTGGCTAATCCAAAGAAGCCAATTAACTTGAAATGTATCATCGTTAGATGCTGGTACGAAGTAGTTCTGTTTCATTTCACTTGTTTACATTCCCGACTGCCTCCATTTGGTTCTAGTTACGTGTTTCAACATTGTTCTAAATGAAAACCAGTGGTAATTATAAAAAGCTAATACAAGGTAACAGACCCTGTGGAAATGTTTACCTATTCTATCATTCTATAAGGTTGTTGTTGTGTACTTTTCTTTTCTTACGTAGTTCAAATAGATATTACTGCTAATTATTAAGAATGTTGTGTCATTGAAAAGTTGTAGTGTAGAAGGAAATAGCTTCTAAAATTGTGAAATTTCCAATTGATATCCAAATATTTTCATTCTGTTATTACCTTTAAATTTAATGAAAATAAAGTGTTCATCTTGTTGGTTAATTTGGGTTTGTCTTTTTGTCTTTTTAGATAATGCATTATTCGTTCAGTGTCTGTCAGTCAGTCTTCTCTCTGTGATAACTGGATACTTCTCTTCACTGCTTTTGCATCTGTCCTTACCTTTTGAAGACGAAAAGTTTCTTCATTGAGCTGTTCGTTTTCTTCCACCTACTTCTAAAGAATGCATTGTTACTTTTTGTCGTTTTTTATAATCTCCATTGGGTGGTTACATTCCAGTTATTGTCTCGTACAAGGTGATGACAGTTTATTCAATCAGTTGTACACTTTATTCTTAGGTAATCAAACAATCGCTACTCTAATTCCATCTGCTTGGTTAGATTATATTTCTAATCTGCCTGGATCTGGTTATTTGATTGCATTTATCTATTGGTTGCGTCATCCACTTCTATTGTGTTTACTGCTTCCATTTCTACTGATATTTTTTATATATTTCACTGTAGTTTTCATTCATCTTTATCATTTAAGATACTGGCTACGTCGTCATTTAAACAGATTACTGTCAGTAATATTTAGTGAGACTACTAGGACTACCTCTGAAACTGGTGGACATGTGTATTTAGATTCTATAGCTGAATTGTTAAGACGTGTTGTTGCTGCTATCTGGGATGCACATGGACGAATATTTCATGGTTATGAAGTGATTGGCATGGAGAAATTACCAGTCGGTGGCCCAGCTTATTTAGTATATTACCATGGAACATGTCCATTTGATGCTTATTATTTTATGTCAAGACATTGTATTGAACGAGATAGGTGAGCCAGTTTTCTTCTTTTTTGAAGATTAATTTTTTGCTTTCAGAGTGTGTTATTTTCAGCAATATAAATCAGCTAAAATATTGAAAACTGAATAGCTATTCAGTTTTAGTTTGTAGCTCGTTGGCAGTGCCTACTCCACGTCTCCACGTGACACTGAGCCCAAGGACTCTCGGGAGATACGCTCGATCTCCTATTTATTGCGTAAAAATCATTTGACCCGTGTTTTCAGACTGTTGGAAAACCTGAGACCTTAGATTGTGACCCATTAATGTCCACTCAACAAGACCTGATGGTTCTGAGCTCCATTCTTTTTGTGAAGGACACTTCTAAAGAGTCTCAAACTAGAATGAAGTGGTTATATAGGATGTATTTGTCTTTCATAAGTTGTAGTTGATAACAGCTCGTGACGACGATTACTCAAAAATCAATAAACTCTTCATAAGTTGCGATTTTTGAAGTTGTTTAGCTGTAATCGATATGATTATGAACAATGAGTTGTATTCGAAATAATACTATTTCACCGTGTGATATATCCAATAAAGAAATTAACATGGAATTACGTACTACCATAGTGACGAAGTTTTACGCATGTGTGAATTCTTCACGAATCTTCTGAGTGAGTGATCGGAAATAAAACCACTTCAGTGTAAAATAGTTGCTTCGATTCGATTTTTCGACTATTGTAAGTGTCTTGGTGAATGTCAACTCTAGAAACTGATCACAGTATGGATACCAAAGTATGTAAATTACATTGGTTAAAGAAAGAGAGAGATGGAGTATATGTGTGGTGATTGAGGTAATAGTTCATTGTTCAAAATATAGCGAGTCGCTCTTTGCTACGTTTTGGCGCTGCTGTTTTCGATTAGCAAGAGGGATAACATCTTGAGTTACTTTTTTACGGTTACTGGTGATTAGAGCAAGTTAATAAGATGTATTTTCCTTTGGGCTACTAAATATCATGTAGAAAACTTATTAATTCTCAGATTACCAATTTCTACAGAAGAATTTCGTAACGTGTGATATAGTAACCAGTATACTAAGACTATAAATATCCAGACCATAGATATCTCGAATTTCGTGGCATAATCTGATCAACGAATCTGACTGAATCATTGTAAATTTATTTAAAATAATTTTGTAGTGATAAAAAGAAGTGAATGAATCGTACACATACTGTATGATAAAACGCCTTAAAGAGTCATTTCTCTCATTCATTGTGTAAATTTACAATTTTTTTAAAAACTACTGTGCCCCTCGTTTGTTTCCTTTAAAATGAACATCTTTTTAAGGATGTTAAACTTGTTTTCGCCTACTTCGTAGATTTCCGGTTCCTGTGGTGGATCGATTTTTATTTCGTGTACCTGGATTTGGACGTTTACTTGAAATTGTCGGAGCTATTGAAGGATCTGTAGATGAATGTGTTGCTCATCTTCAACCTGGTCATGTTCTTAAAAGTAATCATTATTTATTTTTAATTTACGATGTTGCTTTTTTCGAAAGGGATTTATCACTAGTCAACTATTTTCATGCTGTGTTAAAATGAATTATATAGACGTTTCATCTATGCATTATATGTGTAGTAGATTGTTGTAATTCACATTGATTGCATAAAGGTTAATTATATTAATTAGTTCATACCAAAGTAAGTGGAGCATATTTCAGAAGCGAAATCAAATACTTGAAAGTTAATCGTTGACGACCCCATTATTAAGACACTTCAATATCTTGATAAACTCAAGCAATCATTTTTCTTAGAAAGTGTAACACACACGCACTTATACGCTAGTGATGAATTAAGTAACGTATTGTACACTTGTGTTTTGGATAACATATTTGATCACGAGCTGACCTCAGTTAAACAACTATTGGAAAACCGGAGTGCGTACTAATGAAGAGTGTCAAACTGTAACGAAACAACTTTTCAGTACTCCCTGGTTTTCCGGTGACTCTTAAACTAATCTCATCTTGTGATCGGACCTGTAGCCAATCCCTGCCAACCGACACTTGAAATATTTTGGATAACTTAAAAAGATTTGACACTGTTATGTACTGCTGCTGAGTGAGTTATTAGAGTTTTCCCCGTCGTCAATTATGTTATGTACTCGTCTAGTAGTTAATAGTCCTGAAGCGGAAAGAGGGAAATCAGAAGACCACCAGGTTTACGATGATACTTGTATTTTCCAGATAAGGAAAATAAATGTCACACAAGTGTGTAAGTGGAAGGGTACTTAAATGTACGAAAAAGTGTGTGAAGCAGAATGATATATATAAAGTGTACAATGCAAAGTATATATGAAAATGGCTAATACACATGAACCAATAGACAGTCATCTTACCATGATTAGTTGTAATGTCATATAACAAGGTCATACATGTTTATTTAGTTAGTGGACAGACAAAAGCATATTGTCGGTTATAATGAAATATCGATCCATATACACAGCAAAATATAATAGACTGTCAACAACAAAACACACACACATCATATGGATACATACCAGAAACAACTTGGGAGAAAGCTATTCATACTATTTTTTTGTGGAAATAAGCAGCTTGTGAAAATTCGGTGCCTATAACTACTGTTAAAGGACTCCTGAGGTAAGCTATTTTTAATTCGAAAGTGAGATCTGGGAATGTTTGGAGTTTTAAAAATTCACCTAGTGTATGATATATGCAGTAGTACAATCTCTCCGATGTCACTACACATCTTTATGAACTAAACTTAAGTATACATTTCTTTAGTAGTGATTGACGGTATAATTCATGAATCCTAATGACTCTTGTAGACTAAATGATACGATGTGAATAAGTGACCTACAATTCTCAAGGGCTGATTGCATAATTCCCAGTGTTATTTCAGATGTGCAGTTTTATGAGGTTGTGAAGCTACGTAGCTATGACTAGGATACGTATCGCGCACGGCGAGCCACCGCCTTCTTCGACAATCATAGTTAGCTAACATAGTATCAGGTTGGAAAAGAAATTGGGAGTAGTCAAGCCGAAAATCTGGGATCAATCCATGAAGCTTTTAACAGTTGTTTTGAGCCGTGTAGGAGGGTGTAGAGTGTTTGGTTGGAGATTTCGACATGCTAAGAACCAATGGCTTGAGACCAGTGGTGATGTGGCACAAAACCCTCTTAAGTATCGCAGATGAATTCACTCTTTGTAATCTCCCAGATCCTCTAAACCATCATATTTTTCCTTCTTACCATTATTTCTCCCATACATTTCTGCTTATTACAGTAATTTCTAATTCTTTTTTGTCTACCTGTGCTTGATGCACGGAGTGTCGCAGCTTCAATTGCTGCTATTCTGTGCTAAGTTCTATGCTGAGACTCACTCAATGTTAATCTTAAACACAGAAAGTCAACATTATGCTTCGATGTAGTATAAACGGTAAAATTTAGACTCATAAGATCCTATTTATGGTCACCATCTGCCTTACATTAAACACAATCTGAAAGTGTTTTGTTTATTCCAGCAGTATTTTGCACCTGTGTTTTCCTTCATGGCATATTAATAAGAAGGAACCATGGAACTTGATCACGGGCATTGAAATTTATTGTTTCCGTTTTTACAAATCTAAAAAATCAAAAGATCGAAGGACTGGTCAAGGAAATATTTACTTTTCACTTGGATTTCCGTCCATTTCTCTACTCTAATGTATAAAATACAGAAATTTACCAATCTGACAGTGATAGGTTTGCTGTCAATAGTTAGTGAATATCAGAATGTTCAAGGGAATGGTAATTAACTAAAATAATTAATGCTACTACCACAGAGTAGAAAAGTAAATATTTCTTCGTCCAATCCTTTTGTCTTCTAAATGTCTGCCTAAATATCAATTTTTGGTATAATTAACTATTCACTAACAGAGATGTCAATTATTTAGCGGAGGTTATTCTGCATTGCCGTAACGAAATGATAGTTTAATATGTGAGTCTGTAGTCCATCTACAAATTCACCGACATTCATGATATGTAGGGATACGTGACAACATCGTACACGTGGTGGTCAACCGATTTTTGTCTACACATACACTTGTAACTTGACAACTACAATACTTACCGTCCAGCAAGCAATTCTCATTGTAATTCTTTTTTACACAATATAAATTTCGCTTATCTCTGTGAGAAAAAATGATCTTGTTTTCATCTTTTAAAATATAAATATAGATGGTAAAATATCACAAGGTGACGTTTTGTTATTGGCTCCTGGTGGAGTCAGAGAAGCATTGTTCTCTGATGAATTCTATACAGTAATGTGGGAAAAACGACGTGGCTTTGCACGAATCTCGTTATTATCTGGGCAGGTGAGAGATGTTATATATATATATATATATATATATATATATATATGATGCGTCACACAGTTATACAATACCTTCTCTAGTTTTGGGGTATTAAGTATTGGTCATTTTAAAACCTGATGGCCCTTGGTTCTATTCCCGGAGAGGTCGTCAGTCAGTTGATTATTACCAACAAAGAACTTTAGTTTGGTGACCGTAGGTTGGTATACGTGTCTGCAACATAATATGAAAGAAAAATAAATGAAAATAAGACAACCAAAGATCATCGGATAGTAATAAATAATAAAGAGAACATAAATAAATGTGGTGTTATAGTTAGGTAAAAGTTGATCATTGAGAGTGCACATGTAGGCTATTTTTGTGCATTGCTGAAAAACCTGAGACTGGGACGAAACAATAGTCTATTTCTGCTAGTTCGACGACTGTATATGCTCCAAAATCCATCAAATCCTTATTCTTGTGAAATCTACATGTTGACTCGGTAAAGAACAATATGACGGTTAACCTCTCTCCCATCTTTTGTTTTTTCACTTTATTTTATTTCTTTGTGTTCCCAGTGGAACATAGGGCTTCAAGGTTTCAGTAGCAGTGATCTTATTCCTCTTTTTACATGGGCTAGCCTCTCACCCAACCTTCCCTCTTTACCGGGATTACTACTAGTTAAGTGCAGTGTACGTCGGCCGGTGGTCGAAATCTGTACCATGTGCATGGTTGGCGTGCATTCTACCGACGAGTCACCTTTTATTTAACCATTCTGTCAGTATATAAATGATGACAGTTGAGCTCTCTCAGTTTATTTCTATCCGAAATCACGGTTTTACTTATAATACAATTCAGAAGTAATACGAAGCTTACTGCAGTGGATAAAGGTTATTGTTAGCTGATTGGCTATGACGTTAGCAGACTCAAATCTGCGAATCATAGGACGAGTAAGTAGGCTTACAGGTGCGTAGGTGTCACACTGGTAGTCTAGCGTACACCGTTTGAACATTCTCTTTTTGGTAGATTTCAGAATTCTGACATCAGGGCCAGTCAGCTGATCATGGCTTTTATCTACTATCATCTCTTACGGTATTTCTATATCTCTTACAAATCTTTTAAAATAGTTGAGTCGTTAGCCTGCCAGTTTCCGACCACTCAGTGGGACTTTGTACCTCACCTTATAGCCATAGGTGCCCCCATCTCTAGTAAACATATAATCGTATACTTTTTAACTAACACTGTCATATTCCGGTCTTTCGACGCCTTAATCCGTGCTATCTCGCTTGTCTCATATTTGCTGATAGGTCCGTACTTCGTAATCACTACCCTCTCCTTCATGTCGATTACTGCACCAACATCTCGCAGAAAATTAGCGCTAAGTGTTGTTCGCCGTAACTCAGGCACAACAATGAACTGGAACATTACTTCGCAATCACCAATATAAACACTACAGTTTGGCATTTCTGTGATGCTTGACATGTGTCTACCCACGGTTTTAAATGTCAATGAACATGGTTTGACGCTCTGACATAGATTCCTATCTACTAGTGTGACTGCCGCCCCTGTATCTTTCATACATACTACTTCTCGGCTGTTCACAAGCAACTTAGAATACATAGCCCTTCTACTCTGATAGAAGAGAAAGAAATTTTTTCCTCTCCTTCTTTCTGGACTGTGCTTCCTCCAGTGTTCCTGCTTTGCCACATTCAAAACATCGGTCTTTCCTGACACTCATTCGTAGTCCCGCTACTTCATACTGCAAATCTTCAACTTTCTGTTCCCATTCGTTCAATTTCGGTGGATCTATCGCTGATACCGTTGTGCTTAACAGCTGTCTGGTCAACTTGGCTAGCTCACCGATGTCCATGGGTTGTACAGCGTTAACCAGTTTTAGTTGCTGAGAGTGTGGTCTGGGACGTCAGTAGCTGCGACTTCGACTCTTCATCCGATGTGGGGAGTGTACGACGTAGTAGATTCGTCAACTTCACTGAGAACACTAGTGGGTCTCCGCCTAGTTCCAGCTTTGAGGCGCAGAACTACTGCGTCGCCAGCTGCCTGTTCGCCAGGCTGTCGGACTCTGCCACCATTCGTCCAGCCAATACCTTCCAGGTCTCCTTCCCACCTAACCGCTTCACACTGTCGTATGCTGTCTTTGCTCAACCTCCCAGCACGACCTTCTTTTTCATGGGATCATTGACTCTAACTTACTGAATGACAGCCTCAAAGTCCCGAAGAAACTCCATATTTCTCCTTCCTTGAAAGCAGCCGGCTATAAGGTCTTCATTGTCTGGAGGCAGCGATACCAACTGTAATAGTAGAAGACAAGAGATTTCTTAAAGGAATCGGTATCTCTATATAGCGAAATTATGTACACCTTATTTTCGACGCACCATTTGCACAGATCTTCTTGTTGTTGTTGTACTTCTGGACTTCATGTTGTATTTCTTTGTATTCCTTTCACATCTTCCATGTATTTTCACAACGCTGTATCGTTTGCCTTCTCTGAAATCAAATGTATCTCCCTGCTATTTGGTATTTTTATGCCTATGGACGTCTCCTTATATACTACTGGCAAGTCTTATCGGTAGCACTCACCATGTATATACACTTAGTACTATACACTAGGAATTGAAGAGCTGAACGACAATGATGTAAGTTTTGTACTTGTTAGTACTTATCAGTTGAAGTTTCTGTAGCGATAATAATAATAGAGAGTGCACAATGTAGTTGTGTTGTCGTAGTTGTTGATTGAAATCTGATGATCAAGTATGCGATTCGGTCAGTTAGCTAAGAGACACAAAATTGCTGTGAAATATGATACAGTGATTCGAGTATCTGTTGTCAGACAAAATTTTAACACTGAATTATTTTGTACAGCAATCCTTTATCATAGTGTCTGACCTTCATATATATATATATATATATACTTTCATTAGACGCTTGGTGGTAACTAGTGTTATGCATCTAGCTCTTCGTTTAGTGCAAATTGAATTCTATCAGTTAAGTTTGCAATATAGCCACTGTACTAGATGGCTCGCCATCATGGTGCACTTTGAATTGATGGTACATAGATGGAAGCAGTCAGCAGGAAACCTTGTTTACTACCCGTTACAGTTCTGCCTGAGTTCAGTGGCAAGCCTGAATAGCCCAGTGGTAACAGCACTGGTTGGATTTCAGAAAGAGAGTGAGTTCCTTCAAGATTGCAGATATACTTCGTATTTTTTTTAAAAAATCACTTAAACTTTTGATGAAACACTGTTTTTATCTGTATTAAAATACTGACTTTAATGATTTTCTTTCTTTTCAGCCTATCTATCCAATGTTTACAGAAAATATTCGTGAAGCGATAAGAATTGTACAATCTGGCAAAGGTAATACATTAAATAAATCATTATTTACTTGTATTAATTTATCCTTTTGAATTTTGAATTTAGGTTGGTGGCGTAGTCTGTATGAACGTACACGTCTACCGCTATCAATTTTCTATGGATATTTCCCGTTAAGCTTAGGTGAGTATTTTATGTTACCTTTTGTATGATTGATGAACAAATGATTGTGTTCATTTTCAGAAATAGGATAAAACGACTGTTCAGTGCTGCCTGGTTTTCAGTAGTTCTCAAACTTATACCAGTTTGTAACGAAGTCCACCTTGCTTCATTTCATTCGAAGCTATTTTGAATTCTATTGATTTCTCACAGTTTTCCCAGTGGGGATATGGTGCATTGGCCTCAGCACTCTGTCTGTCTGTCTGTTTTCGACATAGAACTTTGCACATATATGCGGAAGTTCAAGTCGCCACACTCCATGTAACACGCGAAGCAAGAGCAGAAAGTACAAGAAAAGCATAATAGAGACAGTAAGCAGAGGTGTGAGACAAAAGAGGACCAATAACGAAGAACAAAACAGTTTCATTGGAGATCATAAGTCACAAGGAGTGGATACATCTGCGCCACTGAGAACGATTTCGAGCCATGACACTAATTGTTTCCAACCATAGATTTTTACCGTCCCGAGGACTCCAGTCTGGAAGTCTACACCTTCCTACGTGGCTTAGACTAACTGTTGTGGATTTCATTGACTGGTGTCATGTTTTTGTTTGACCGCCGCTAGCTTTTTTCCAGCCTGACCCTACATCCGCTAACATTGCTCGTTGAGGAAGGCGATGACAGCGGTGCTCACCTTGAAGAAGCCTGGAAGAATATTCAGTCAGCCATAGATACAGCTGTAAAAGCTGTGAATAAGGTAAACCCAAAGGTGAGTAAAAACCACTGGATCTTCACGGCCTCATCCGAACTGATAGATGCTAGAAGACTTATTCCGGCGAGCTCCGAATTCAATGAGGAGCGAAAGCTGCACAAAAGGAAACTTACGAAAAGTCTCCGCAAGGACCGTGAACAGTGGTGGGTGACAAAGGCGAAAGAGATGGAAAAAGCTTCGACGATAGGCAACACTAGGCAACTCTTTAGACTCATCAGGGAAACAGGTGGGAGAAGGCAAATCATAAGTGAGACTATTTCTGAGAAAAATGGCTCCTTAATTAGCTCTCAGGATAGACGCCTTGAACGCTGGAAAGAACACTTTGAGGGACAATTTAACTTGCCTACAGCCACACTGAACCTCCCTGACATCCAGCACACACCCGAATGGGATATAGACACTGGTCCGCCGTCTGTAAGTGAGGTCACAAAAGCTATCAGTAATTTGAAACGAGGCAAAGCGGCAGGACCCGACGGAATTATTCCGGAGGTGTTTAAATATGGGGGTGACATACTAGTTTGTAGATTAACTGAGGTACTAGGCAAAGTCTGGGAATCAGAGACAGTTCCATCAGACTGGGGTAAGTCACTTATTATACCGATATTCAAGAAGGGAAACAAGTCCTCGTGTGATAATCATAGGGGGATCAGCCTAACGAACATAGTCTCTAAAATCCTAGGCTCAGTAATCATGCATAGACTAAGCAGAACTCGGGAGGAACAGACAAGGGAAAATCAAGCAGGCTTTAGACCAGGTAGAGGGTGCATAGATCATATCTTCACTCTTCGACAGATTCTAGAACATAGACACACTTTTCGGCGTCCAACAATTGCCATATTTCTTGACTTGAAGGCGGCCTTCGACTCCGTGGATCGAAAGGTACTATGGCAATGTCTGACTGTGAAGGGAGTGCCAAGAAAGTACATTGCACTAATCAAGGCACTCTATTCAAACTCACGTAGTCGTGTAAGGGCTTATGGGGAATTGTCATCTGAATTGTTAACAACCAGTGGTGTCCGACAGGGATGTCCACTTTCCCCATTTCTGTTTAACTTCATCATAGATATGCTAATGGAAGTATCCTTAACTGAACGTAACGACTTAGGAATCGACTTGTTACCAGGGAATAGTCTTATGGACTTAGAATATGCAGATGACATAGTCCTGTTAGGGGAGGATGCTGAAAAAATGCAGAGTCTTCTGAACACCTTGAGCAGCAATCTTCGTATGTTTGGCATGCGATTCGCCCCTGCAAAATGTAAGATGCTGCTACAGGACTGGACTACGTCAACTCCTAACTTAGTGATAGGGAGTGAAGTGATAGAACATGTTGACCACTTCACCTATTTGGGAAGTTGTATTAGCACCAACGGACTGATTGGCGATGAAATCTCAGCACGGATCCGAAAAGCTCGAGCTGCTTTCGCTGACTTACACCATCTCTGGCGTAGGCGTGACATCCGGTTATCAACCAAGGGACGTGTGTACTGCTCAGCAGTTCGCTCCGTCCTTCTCTATGGCTCTGAAACATGGCCAATACGAGTTGAAGACATGAAAAGGTTGACTGCTTTCGATCATAGATGTCTGCGATCTCTGTCTCACGTTAGGTGGTTTAATAAGGTAAGTAATGTTGACGTTAGGCGTAGAGTGTTGGGCAAAGAGGGAAAATCAATCGACGAGGCTATAAAGTTACATAGACTAAGATGGCTAGGTCACGTGCTGCGCATGCCTAACCACCGCCTCCCCCGACGGGCATTGCTAGCTGATATAGGTGCAGGTTGGAAAAGAGCCAGTGGTGGCCAAACAAAAACATGGCATCAATCCATGAAATCCTTGACAGTTAAACTGAGTCAGGTAGGGAGATGCAGACTTCCGGGTTGGGGCCCTCGGGACTCTAGGAATCAATGGCTGGAGACAATAGGTGACATGGCTCAAAATCGTTGTCAATGGCGCAGATGTATTCAGTCTCTGTAATCTTTCATATTCCTTTCTACCATTACCCATTCTGTTTCAGTCTTATACTTGTGAAACTCTATTAATTCTCTTCACTCATCTTCTTGTCTACCTCTGTGTGCTATTTGGAACGTGGAAACTCGAACTGGTGCACTTCGGTGTCAAGTTCTATGTTGAATCCAGACAGAGACAGACAGACGTAACACATGTCCTAACCATCTCAGTCTTTGTAACCTCACGACTTCGTCGATTGATTTCCTCTGTTTACCTAGCACTCGACGCCTAACCTCAATATTGCTCACCTTATTATGCCACTTTACACGGGAAATAGAACGCAGCCACCTATGATCAAAGACAGCTAGTCTTTTCATGTCTTCACTCTCAATGGCCAGGTCTCACAACCATAAAGGAAGACGGACCGGACTGATGAGCAGTACACCCGCCCTTTGGTCGATAGCCAGCCCGATATCACGTCTACGCCAAAAACAGCGTAAACTGGCATATGCGAAAATAGCCCTCTGTATTCGTGCTGAGATTTTGTCAGAGATCAACCCGTTGGCATTGGCTGATGGTACTTCTCAAATAAGTGAAGTGGTCAATGTGCTCTACCACTTCACTTCCTATTTCTAATCTAGGAGTTAGTGTAGTCCAGTCCTGTAACATCATCTTGCATTTGGCGGGAGCGAATCGTATGCCAAACATTCGTAGATTGCAGCTCAAGGTGTTTAGAAGACACTGCATTTTGTCAGCGTCCTCGCCTACGAGAACTATATTGTCTGCATATTCCAAGTCAACGAGATTATTCCCTGGTAGCAAGTCAATCCCTGAGTCACTGAAGTCACTTAGGGTTAAGTCCATTAGTACATCTATGATGAAGTTGAATAGAAAAGGGGATAATGGGCATCCTTGACGGACACCACCAGTCGTCACCACTTCAGATGACAACTCGCCGTAAGCCCTCACCTGGCTGTATGAGTACGATTAGAGTGCCTTAATCAGTGCAATATATTTTCTCGTCATTCCCTGTACAGCCAAGCATCTCCAGAGAACTCCTCGGTCGACAGAGTCGAATTCCGCCTTTAGGTCAAGAAATATAATGACCGTTGGACGCCCGTAGGAATGCATATGTTCTAGAATCTGTCGGAGGGTGAAGATATGACCAATACACCCTCTTCCTGGTCTAAAGCCTACCTGGATCTCTCGTGTTTGTGCCTCCCGAGCACCACTTAGTCCACGCATAATTATTGAGCCTAGGACTTTAGATACTATATTAGTCAAGCCAATCCCTCTGTGATTATCACAGGAAGACTTGTCTCCCTTCTTGTATATCGGGATGATCAGTGACTTACACCAACCCGATGGAACTTCTTCTGATTCCCAGATGCTCCCTAGTACCTCAGTTAATGCAGACAGTAAACTGTCTCCACCGTACTTAAATACCTCTGGAGTCATTCCATCAGGTCCCGCTGCTTTGCCTAGTTTCAGATTGGTGACAGCTTTAGTAACCTCAGTTAGGGATGGAGGACCTGTGTCTACATCCCATTCAGGGAGGTGTTGGATGTTCGGCAGGTTAAGCATGGCAGTCGGCCAATTAGACTGTTCCTCATAGTGCTCTTTCCAGCGTTCCTGTCGTCTATCCTGGGAGCTAATTATGGTGCCATTTTTCTCCGAGATTGTTTCACTTATCATTTGCCTTTTGCCACTTGTTTCCCTGATAAGCCTAAACAGTTGTCAGGTGTTGCCTATTGTCGAAGCTTTTTCCATCTCTTTCGCTTTTGTTACCTAACTGGAGATGCCATATCAGTAACGGTATATATATATATATATATATATATATATATATATATATATATATACTAGAAGAAAAAGAGAAATAATATCTAGATGTAATTACCAAGGTAAATGAAAATTGTTGAAACTTAAATTAAAACTGTCACTTAGTGACTCCTCTACATTGGTTTTGTTCACTGCTGAGCCAGTGCCTTGCTAGAGAGTGGTTCATGTCATCCTGTGGTGAGAGCTGTCTGCTAGCAGACAGCAATTCATGTCAATGTTTACGTCCCAAATCTTGGTCATGAGAAAAAACAAGAACAAAGACTAACTCAACAACCAATCACCACGGACAGTGTGACTGGATACGATTAGAAGATATATCAACGGACTGTATAAGAAACGGCAACAAAGAGATGACAGAATAACCTTCAGCAGGAAAACAACCAATCAGAAGATGTTGCCTCTCTGCTAACAATAACGAATAATAATATACATAAAAATCTATAAATAACTGTTGATTTTCTCA